TAAAGGTAATTTCATGTAATATTTTTTAGTAATTCTGTGCATAAAACAAAGTTTCACATTATGGAATTTTCCACTTGTGAGGATCATGTTAGCGATTCAAGCAGTTTTAGATTTTGGAGCATCTCTGATTCTGGATTTGGGGATTAGGAATGCTCAAACTGTACTGTTATTTCAGAGGGTTGAATTGAGATGGTCTCTACCTCCCATGTGGAGCATCTCATTCTTACAGTGTAAACCATGCTACAAAATCAAAATGTTTTTTCTATACCATACACACACCAAAAAAAGAGGGCTTTATGAAACCATCTAGACCAAATCAGTGCTAGCTATGTCCTGGGACTAGATTGTCACACAGCTCACATGGCTTGCAGTTTACCGAGCTGAAGGAAAAGATTGATTGCCATTCTGGAAAGAAGGTAGAAGATGGCCCTAAATTCTTGAAATCTGCTGATGCTGCCATGGTTGATATGGCTTCAGGCAAGCCCATGTGCACTGAGAGCTTCTCTTACTCTCCTCCTCTGGGTCATTTTGGTTATTAGTGATATGAGACAGTTGTTGTGGGTGTCATCAAAGCACGGACAAACTGCTGGAACTGGCAAGGTGACCCAGTCTGCCCAGAAAGCTCAGAAGGCTAAATGAATATTACCCCTACCACCTGTCACCCTAGTCTTAATCAGCCGTGGAAGAACAGCTTAGAACTGTTTATCTCAATTGGTCATTTAAGTTTAATTAGTAAAAGGCTGGCTAATGATAACAACGCATCATGAAACCTTCAGAAGGAAAGAAGACCATTTGTGGACCATTGTATGGAGGTGGCAGTTTTAAGTTACTCGTTTTTCAAGTAAGTAGTTTGGAAACAACTTGACCAAAAAAAAAAAAAAAAAAAAAATCTGTCACAGAATTTTGAGACCCATTAAAACAGAGTTTAGTGGACATTGGGGAAGGAGTGCTTTTAAAAATTCTGTGTGAATACACAGTTGAAAACTAGATAGATAGGCATTATTCTTCATCTTAGAGATAAGCAAGGTCTGTATAAATGGACTATATTTGAATCATTACAGTGACTTTACAGTTCAAAGGCTGATTTCCATTGAATTTTGTTTTCTCAATATTTTACTAATGTGACTTGCTCACTGTTTGACCCCTCTCACTGACCAACTCTTAACTAATACAAATCAAACAGATGAAAATTTAGTCACCAATGCAGACCTCATACTTTTAATGCATTAAAATTGCCTGACAAACACGTAATGCTGTTGAAATCTTAGCAGAAGGGAAGCCTTCTGAAATGGAAGTCTCCTCATTTTTCCACATAGGGAAATAAATTGCCAGCTTCTGGGTCATCAGAATCATTCCTTATAGTACATAGTTATCAGATCACTTGAAGTCACTTTTCACAAAAACTCTCTCAGTTTGGGCCATGCAAATGGCTCCATCATATGTAAGAGCAACTTGAGGCACACTGTATTCAAGAATGTCCAGAGGAACAACAGGATCACATTATACTTGATTCTAATGGACCTGGGCTCTTATTTCTTCTCCTCTCTGTGTCTGTATTGTCTCGGTCACCTTTACCACGCATCGCTTACATGGTTAATTCATTTCCTACCTGCTACTATCAGCACTCAAGCAGAAGTCATCCCTGAAAGAGAATTTCTATCTCCAGACTCTCTGAACACATAATTACCTGGCTGATTCTAAATGAAGACACCTGAAGATAAGACCATACCATAGACTTCATTTAAAAAATGGAATTCAGAACTTTTTAGAGCTAATGCCCAAGTTATTGAACAATAAACCATCAATAAGAATAAACTAAACTCTTATGGAAAATTAAAGTTCTAGTGAATAAGAATAATGTGGCCTGGAGGAGTAGAAACTGCCCTGTAAAACAAATGAGGCATATTATCAGTTTCCGCTTTTCTGAAACCTCTTAACTGAGGATAGTACTAGACCACTAAATGCCTGGGTTTCCTTTTTGTGTCAAAGGCTGAAGACAATGAATCCTGTGAATTCTTTTCCCAATAAGAAAAAATGACAATTCAGAACATTCTATTCAATATGTCTTTTAAATAGAAGAATTTGAGTTTCTGCAAAACTATGATGAATTCATCAGAGTGTTTTTCTTGAAATTTTACTAGCATATGAGTCTTAATGAATGACAGCCAGGGCAGGGAGAATAAAGCATGTTGAACCTCACCTAAGTAGAAAGACTGATGCAGTCTCTACCAGTAGGAGGACAAAACTGTCCTAGGTGTACTATTTGACATGACAAACATTTGTGTGTTTGAAGCTGACCTGGGTGAGTCAGTCACTACTGGGATCTTAGGCGTGTAGCCAACATTGTCAACTCTCCCCTCACTAAAAGGGAATTACACAGGACAGTGTGCACTGAAGCTTCCACTGACAACATCACTTTCTACTCCTTCCAAGACACAGAGCAGTTCAGCATAGATGTCTCCTTTATGCATTTTTAAAGTGATCCTGTCCAGAGCTACTAGAACTCTTAGTTCTTAAGGCAGGAGAGAATGGTTTTTTTACAGTCTGTTAACAAAAGGAAACCAAAACACATAGTTTCTAATAATAAGAATCTGGATCAAGTTCACTATATATTCAGAAATAGATTTCAATTAAACCACTTAATAGAAAATTTCATCAACTATTGAATAGAAACAATTCAGTAAACTGGCTTTTCCTTTAGCCTCATTCCACTACCACATGTATCTCATAATTCAAGCTTGTTCCCCCCAATAAAAAAGGGGTCACTGAGATAGTTTTGAAATTGTGCTTTGATAGTTCAGTTTCTCCTAAACCAATTGCTATTAAAGTGTCAATAATAAGCCTTCATGCTGATGCTCAGTACAAGTACCATGACACCTGCTGTACTGCATACCTAAGCATCCATGCAGGTTTCCTGTGCCTGCATCTGCCCCACAGCCTCACAGGCTGTTGCAATGCAGGTGGCCACCCCCAGTGAGCACATCATATCCACACCACATACATACAAGGCACAGGCTGACAGTGATGCTGCCCACCTGAGCCAGGGGGTCACCAAGGGATTTTATTTACATTTGTTAGGCACCTCCTGGGTTCCAGGCCCTGTGGCATATCTTGGAGACACAGCAGTGAACAGAACTATCACCACTGATGCCTGCTCTTGGGAACTGACAATATCTCTGCCAACCTTGTCTACTTTCTCCACAATCCAAACTCCTGCTTAGCTAGAGCTTGGAAAATCAATGGTAAAGTGAAGGCAAATAAGTAACTAACCACCTCAGAAAAAGATTGGATAGGGGTCTTTGGACAACACACTTCCATTTATAAAGGAACTTTATATAAATTGCCTCCCCAAAATAATTATCCCTCGTTTATGGGTGAGTCCACTGGTACTCAGAGTAAAAGAAACTTGCCAAAGTTTGATAGAGAAGACCATCCAAGGTGAGGATCCAGGCCTCCCTAACTCCAATAAAAGCTATGCCTTGTAGGGGAGAGAAGGGCTCAAAGCAGTAGTAAATAATAATAATTGACACGGCTTCTAATCACAGTCTTTTGGGAAGAACGTAACTTCATATGAAAGGTTTCTGTTCCTCCCCATCTATTAAAAAAAGAGATGAAAATTCTGGATTGCTAACCTCAGCAGATCCTGATGAAGACAGACAGCCTAATCATGCTTTGAATGAGTTATTATCAGAAAGACCATATTCTCTATCCCTGTTAGGAATGCTTGTCCAATGATATAAGGGGGGATGAAGATGGTGATGCTGATGAGGGTGACAATGGGTAACTAGCATGTATTGAGTTCTTCAGATGATTTTAAATTCATTATCCCATTTAATTCTCAATAAATATTCTAGCATATTCATCTATATAATGCAGAAGAGAAAAATGGGACATCAGAAATCTTAAGGGACCTGACCCAGGTCCCAAAGCTAGGAAGGAATAGTGGTAAGACCCTAAAATGTCTTGACTCCTGAGTTCATGATTAAAATTACTAAACTCATCGTAAAACATAAGAGATTTCAATGATGTTGGTGACGAACCTGGTTCAGTGTATGCAAAGGGAGAGGGGCCCTGCTGAGAAGAGAATTCAGTATAATGTATTATCAAGTCCTAGAATGGCCTGCTTAATGGAAGAACTCCACATTCAAAAGTTGGGCTCTATTCGTGGTAGCCACAGAATGAGCTTGGTCTGTACATGTTGATCAGTGTCAATTTTGGGCAGGGGGGAAGCTGGAGAAGGACATTCATACACCATCTTACACCCTGGGAAGCTTCCACTCAGGTACCAAGATGGGTAGCCCTAGGAATAGGAGTAGACCAAGAAAAGGAGTTGAAGTCCACCAAGGAACCTTCTATATACATAGCCAGGATTTCCCAGTCTGCACTACACGGGAAGAAATATTAGAAATTGGATAAAAAAACACAAAGACAGTGGGACACAGTCCACTTAGCCCACCAACTTGAGAGGAGTGTTGATTCAGACAAGCAAAGCACGAGAGCACAATATTGCAAGGTTCAGATAGGCCTGAAGCATCCCGCTTTTTACTGTGAGCTCTTGACAGGATATATTCCCATTGTCGGGAGGGAAGGCTTTTTGTATCTAAAAAAAAAAAAAAAAACTTAGAAATAAGAAAGCTGTTGAAGCTTCCATGAGGAATAAATGTCATTATGATGAGGGTCTCTTCAAATACCAAGGCCTATGTGCACGCTTAGTAATACTCCACAATGATTTCATCACCATCGTAATCATAAATACACAGACATGCTTTTAGGAAGGGAGAAAAGAATTTCGAATGCCAGATGAAGCGCTGCCTCTAGAACAAGCTTGTTTGCACAAGCTGGTGGTGATGCTTGGGTTATTTATGGAGCTACTGAGATCTCTTTGTTCCAGGAGAATTGGTGTGACCCATGTCTTGGCCTGGGGCCAGATGTGCTACACTCAGCTCAGGCCCCACCTCCCAACCCTGTCACCACGCAGACGCCCTGCCCAAGGGCTTTACCTTGCTGTTTTTGCATGGTAGTGAAATCCTCAAAAGTGAGTGTGCGCACAGGAGGTCTCCAGAAAGCATAGGTTTCCATGATAGCTTCAAGTCCAGTTCTGCAGAAGGAAAAGTCAGAAAATAAAGTGGTGAGTAATCCTGAGAAATACACTGACTTTTTAAAGATCTGGAGGTGGTTTGTTTGGCAGGTGGCATTTTATAGGCACTGAGACATCACCATCAGGACAAATCAGTATGAAAAGGCAGGAGGTATAGACTCTGCTAGACTATAGAAGGAGGAACAAATTAACCTAATTATTCAGATTATTTGCAGGCAACTTTATAACCATGATAAAATTCTACTCTGAGCATTCTTCAAAGGAAGTTTGTTGTGTATGAAAAGAGCATATTGAATGATAAAGGTCAAGGTCACTAATATCATGAGTACAGCTGAGCAGAAAGTAGCACTGGCTGCTTCTCTAGCTCAGGACAATGCCATCATCAACTCCACACCCAGGTATGTAAACTGTCAATGAAATTGTCAAACTCATGTAGCTTCTAAGAATTCTTAAATCAACAGAGATGAGCCCGACAACAAATAAAAGGAGAGTATGTGATCAAATACACTCAAGATTCCATTTCAACAAAAGATACCTACCTACAGGCAAAGAAAGGGCATGGTCCCAGAAATTATACCTCAGGCCAAAAGACCAAGACAAGACGAGTCTACAAATATTTTACTTTGCATTTTTATAACTTAATAATTCAGCTAGTATTTGTTTGTGGTACCAAGTATTGAACCCAGGAGCACTTAACCACTGAGCCACATCTCCACCCCACCTTTTTTTAATATATTTTAATTGTTGATGGACCTTTTGTTTTTTACTTATTTATTAACTTATATGTGGCACTGAGAATCAAACCCAATGCCTCATATATGCTAGGCAAGTGCTCTACCACCAAGCCATAACCTCAGCCCAATCTCCACCCCCTTTTATTTTTTATTTTGAGATCGGGCCTCACTAAGTTGCTTAGGGCCTTGCTAAATTCCTGATGCTTTGAACCTGCTATCCTCCAGCCTTAGCCTCCTGAGCTGCTGGGATTACATTCAGCCGGTCTTTGGGACTTACAAACTGCCAGACTTTAGGAAATAACCAATATTTTACAGTTAAACTCCTTGACGGTTTTGGTTCAGTGGTACTAGATAAACTATCAACCGACTATGTGCACACTGTCTGCTTTACCCTTCGATGAATTGTATCTCTGTTATCTTTTATGAGGCTGATATACATGGTCCTCAGATAATTATCCAGGATGATTTCAACATATTCTTGCTGATACTCCATATCCCCCCAAACACAGTCACTGGTTGAGGCTCTGTTTAAAGCTTTGAACGCAGCATCTGATTCCTGACTTTTCTTTGCAACTGTGTCATTTCTATCTAGGTGGAGGGAGAGGAAGCAGGGGACTATGGGGACGGAGGAGAAGGGAAGTGGAGAAGAGATTGGCTGAGTCTTCTTGTTGCAAAGTCACTAGAAGGCTGCACCATGCACCTTCCCGGAGCAGACAGGCTTCCACTCCCTTGATAATACATTCACAGGTTCTCTTCAGTCTTACACGCCAAAAATAAAGTGAGACATTTTATTTGAAGTGAGAACAACTATCCTTTCCTTATGAATGACCAGAGTATCCCCTGAGGTTCTTCTCACACGAGCTGCTGACACACGGAAGGGTTCTTTGTGTTGGAAAAATGTCCTCTCTGAATAGGCCTTACTTGCACAGCTAACTTTCTAAAGTCTTCCCTGGAATCTCGGAGGCTTTAAATACACCAAGGTTGGCAAACCAAACTCTGTATTTTAAGAAGAGGTTCAGAGGAGAGAGTGTCGCATGGTGTTTATTAGCTGTTAATCTGTTAGAAGTAGGAATAGAAGACATCTCCACATAGTCGCTCTAAGTTAATGCTGAATACAGTACATGAAACTATTTGTGGGGAGAAAGAGCCCAGGCCATCAGGGAGTTCAGAATAATAAGGGGATAGTTAGATAAAGCCATGCTGAGCCTTGGTGGACAGAAGAAATAGATAGGCCAGGCTTAGACCTTACTGCTTTGTTGTGGAATGCTGGCGATCCACCAGAACATCTTAGGATTCCCTTTAGCGGCTCAGGAGGCTCACTCAAATGGCAGAGGTTTTATTCCATTCTTTCCAGGAGCATGTACCAGTGATGAGGACAAAATATTAGCTCAAGGACAAAGAACAATCCCTTCTCATTTCATAATCAAGTGCTAGAAGATTGTGAAAAATGGCAATAATACACTAATATACTGCCAATATTGTATTCATTGAAAAAAACAGAAAATGAACTTTGGATTCATTTTCATAATAGCCCAAAAGGCTGAGGCAAATTTATACTATAATCAGCTTTATACTATAAAATAGTTCCCATGTATCTGTAAATACATGGGAAATGTATTTAAATACATTTATTTAAATACATAAATACATAAATCTAAAATCCAACTGAAAACAGAGCTATAGGACCAGATTTAAAATTTGAGAAGGGTCTAGGGTATCATCTACATTCTCCTCTGACATCATCCTGTCATCCAGACTCTGTTGGCATATAAATATTCAGTGTTTTATAAGATCTGTTAGAAAGTTCTTTCTGACATTTGGTTAGAATCACCCTCTAGGTCCATATCAATGGGTGAATGATAGAAGTACACATTTCTACACAAAGTCTGCCTGCCACATCCTCACCCATGAGACCTTCTTTAGCTTAAGAATGCAATATATAACATGCCTCATATGAACACATCCATGGTCCATCAAAGGGTCTGTCACACAAGGATTATTTTGGTGGTAGACTTAAGTAGATAGGGGTTCTGATTTTCCCCCAATAATGGCTAAGACCACAACATTACTAGCCATACCTTAGTAATCCACTATGGCTCCATCTCTTACAGATTTATACTATAAAGAAGATAGTATAAATTATCCTGTGATATGCTTTATCCTACGTAGGATGATATAGATATCACAGATTTATATTAGTCAATCTGTTTATGTACTTAAAGTATATCTCTTTTTAAAAAAATTAATCCTATTTGTTTTCTGTGTGTCATATTTTTTATTCGTTCTCAAACTTTATCAAGCTTCATTGGACAGATCTAATTATTAGAAGTCACTAATTTTATACTGGTGTAGTGTTATGGCAAGATTACAAAATTCCCCTCTCTCCACCACTAGCAAGTATGCACCTTAGGCTTTGGATCCATGATTCTCCATGCCCCAGTGTCTAACCCAATGCCTGTTACACGATGAGATCTCAATTGATATGAATTGAATTAGGAAGTAGAGGAATAGATGTCTTATAACAGAGTAATCATTGCATTAAGTTTTACTAGCATTCATTTTTTTTTTCTAAACCTAAAACTTAAGAAAACAACTTGGTACAAAATAAAGTTTCTGACAATGAAAGGAATCCTCTAGAGTTGGAGATTTGGGGAATTGTTTCTATAGCTAATTATGATTGATTGTGCCTTTATTTACCTAGGTCTCAGAGAGGGTTCCATTTTCCTTTGATTTCTTCTGATTCAGTGATGGAGTATTTGACCTTCAATAGAGTCTGAGTCCCCTACCAGAGGCCAGTCATTTCTATCCTTCAAGGTCTCTTATAAGAGACCTTGCCAACTACTTGTTAATATCTTCAGTCCTTTGGATGTCTATTCCAAGTTTATCCTGGGGTACACATTATTTACTTACTCTCCATAATTTTATATTAGTTTTGTAAAATTTTTCATTTTCATTTTTTTAAGTGAATTCATTGCCTCAGAGATGAAGAAAAGCTGCCTTGAGCAACCATGGTTTCATTGACACATGCCCCACAATGGGTCTCTTTGGGTCTGTTGCATACCAACAGATATCATCTCTGAGATTTCCAATCAGAGATGGTCAAATTGGCAAATGTCCCACTCTTGCTCATTTTCCCCTGTGAACCAGTTGCTCCAGTGACAACACAAGCCATGTCCAAACTCCCTTTCTTTGGTCCTCTGGCTGCCACTCCCTCTCTTCTTTCCAGGACTTTTCTCTTTAGACCTGTCAATGTGTTTGCTGGTCAACCAAGAGAATGTGCTAAAAAAAGGGGGGGGGGAGGAAGGAGGGAAAGCAATCCAAAGAGCTCTCTCACAAATTATTGATGCCTCAAGATCAACTGATCTGGAAAAATAACCAGATTGTTAAAGAAATAGCCTTCCAATCTCATTTTTTTTAAATGGCAAGGCAGGATCAACCCTCCAAAGTCCAGCAGATGTTTGAAGATTAAAACAACAATTATGAAAACATTCAATAGACTCTGATGCATAGTTTCTGATTTCTACTTGTCTTGAGGTAGGGAATTTCTTTTTATTGTTTCTTCCATTTATTTTCTCTTTAGTCCTCTCTGGCTCATCTTTAACTATGCTTCATACTACTTGCTGGTGATAAAGGGAACATATGCAATGGGTTGATAAGACCATTGGTCATCTCTCAAAGGCTAAGGGTAACTTAATGTGACAGGGGTTTTGAGATCATAAAGGAGTTATTTGATCAGGGGGGAAAATATGTGCTAAGTTCAGGAGATATAAAGCATCTTCACTCTTTAGGGGCATGATTTTCCATGCCCCAATGTCTAACACAATGTCTGTTACACGATGAGATCTCAATTGATATCCTTTAGGAGTATCCTGTTCAATAAAAAGAGAACAATGGGTAAATGACTAATTTCTGAGCTATGTGATGCACTGGAGATACATAGATATCATGGCACCTCAAGCAAGTAGTATTTAATATACCTGAAAAACTTAAGGAAGACCCCACAAAGGGACCAGTTATTTAACCTTATTTATAAAATGTACTCAGCAGCCTTCCATTCAGACATGAGGCATTAAGGCCTTTCTCTACTAAGAAACAGTATGTGCAATGACTTGGAGGCATGGAAGAGAAGGAGTGTTCTGGAAACTTAAAATAAGTCAAGGTGATGGAAGTTCAGGGTGTGAAATGACATAGACATCATAGGCATTCATTCCATGTTCAGTGTTCAGATTTCATCTCATGGGTGGTGGTGTGCCTCCTTTCCTTTAT